AAGTTAACCTATCATCCTATAGGTAGAACATGGTTGAAAGTACACAGACAGGTAGCATGCCTAGAGGCAAGAAGATAGGTGTTTAAAGTAGGCCCAAGTGAGTTTTGTCCTCTAGAACAGATACTGGAGCTAAGCAGCAGATCGTGGAAAGTAACTGAGAAGGTGGTGTTAGGAAAGTATCAAAAGTGCTAACCTCTGACCCCATCTTATCTCAGTTAATCCTATTTGCAAACTAGATGATCTAAAGAACTGGGGAAAGGACACACATGTATGAATCTTCCTAATTACTAAATTTGCAATGGACTTCAGATAATTAAAAAAATGTTTGGCCAAAAGAAACTCAGGTATACAATACATGATTATATCTCATTGTATGGCATTATTATTATTATTATTGTGGCCAAATGTTTCCTAATGAACATTTAGTTAGACATTGGTGAGGAAGTTGACTAGTTTGTTTCTGTATATCAGGATTCAGTAAACCAAACCAACCTGCTCAGCTGTGTGAAATAAGGTAAAGAGCAATAGACCAAAAGTGAGGTTGCCAGCTTCTGGCTTTAGCTCTGAAACAAATTCCACCGTGCTAACCTGAGACACAGGACTTCTCTGAACTAGATTTTCTTATCTGTGAAAATGGCTGGGAGAAGAAGACAGGGTGGGAAAGATTTCTGCCTGTGATTAACAGGGAACTGGGAGTAACTGTAACCCCTCTGTATAGTATTTTTACAATTAAAAAATGTATTTAAAAAACAAAACAAAAACAGGGCACTGGGATTCGGGAAGATACTTCTGGAGCCCTCAAGAGGAGACATCCAGTGAGCAGTCTCCCATCCATCAGCCATTCTCCCTCATCCCAAGAGGCTTCAGTTCACTGTTGGTATCAGAGATCTTTGTAGGATTTCACCAAGTCTATAGCACAATCCATATCTCCACCTCTCCCATCAAGGGGAATTTACTGGCTTGCTATCTGCCACACTCTCTTTCTCATTTTTTTTTCTTTTTCTCTCTCTGAGGACTTTGTCCCTTAGGCGTCTGATTTATAAAATAAAAAAGATAGTACAAACTGATAGCTAATGGCCCTCTATAAGGAAACAAAACTCTATGATGTTAAGAAAAAATGTTCACCAAAACCCAAATGATACACATCTTTGTAGACTTTTGGGTAAAACTGTTCTCACTCCAAGAACAAACTCTGAGGTTGGATAAAAAAACAGCTAAAGTACAAGCCACTATTGCAAAGAGCTGTAAGTACTTTCTTTATAGTCTTATTTTAATATTTTGCATTTAGGAGCAAAAAACTCAGGTATCATTTGAGTGATAAAATTTATTTTTCTAAAGGAAAAATGTCTGAGAATTAAAGCAAAAAAAAATCAAATCAAAACAAAGCCAAAAACAAAAACCCAGACCAACACCCCACGTCTGACCACTCAGAGTTAGCGTGACTGTGGGAACATCATAAGCCTCCTTACCTCACCACCCTCTGTGGGGGTCCTAAGCCACATCACCCAGCAAGTACAAATCCGGCCACAATTTTACTACTGGTCTATGTTTTGTAATTGTGGGACTTGTATGCTAATCAGAGAAAGGGGCTGGGTCTTTTCTAAAATAAAAGAACAAAGTAACGGACTAAAATGAACACATGCAAGTGCAGGATTTTCCAACACATATGCTGCATTTTGTAGTGTCTCTTCAGAAAAATCAACGTACTAGACTTTTCTGTTGAGTAGTGTTAAAGTGGGGCTCATTTTCTAGGCATTTAAGCATCAAGAATATTTTATGTTAATTATCATCTTACTGGACAGGATAACACATTTCTTCTGGTGAGATTTTTGTTTCTATAAATAGATGTATAGACGCATACACGTCACTTGTAAATTGTATTTGTTACTGGATGTTGGGACAAAAATGGAAAAGTATTGCTTTGAGAAATACTGGGAGCAATAAAGGAAGTGTGATCTTACTTTGATCTTAAGATCTCTGTCTCTGTCTCTGTTGCTCTCTGTCTCTTTCTGTCTCTCTCTCTCTCTCTCTCTCTCTCTGGGAGTTTGGTTTAAAAATAAAGGAGATAGTGGAGGCAGTGAAGACGACTCATTTCCAGTATTTCCTAGGAGATGATTATTCCATTGATGCTGTGCTTGACTATAACTCTCCCAACAAGGTTGTCCTTGCTGATTATATGTGAGGTAGTAGTGGCAGGAAGAGATTTCTAAAGAATTTCACCTCTGTTCTAGATGAAAGGAGTTTAAACCATTCACCTAACATCAAGGTTACTAAGAGGCCGATTCTGAATTCTAACTTGATAGTCTAAATCTACAGTATCAACCAAAGGCCTACTGTCCCCAGCTTAGCACTATTAAGAGGTGACAGAATCGTAAAAAGGCAGAGCTCAATGGGTGGTTTTAGGTCATTGAGAGCTTTCCTCAAAGGGGCCCTTCTTGTTTCTGTCTATTCCTGGCTGGTATGGAGTCAGCAATGTTGTCTTCCATGCACTCCCACTATGACATGATGCCTTGCCACAGGTCCAAAATCAATACAACCCCAAACAACCATGAATTAAAATCTCTAAAACTGTGAGCCAAAGCCTCCTCCCACTTGTTTTTAAAGCTGATTGTCTCAGGTATTTTGTTACAGTAATGGAAAGCTGTTATCTTACTATGAGTTCACAATGTCTTAGTCACAGGGAAGGGAATAGGTAGTGCCTTTAAGGTTAGCTTTAAACAAGCCTACTTGGGTCTAAATCACCATGGCTGATATTAACTAAGCCTTCCCCCACTTTGTGTAAGTTCTATTTGAAGCATTCTAAGACACTCATTTAATTTATCCCCTTAAAACTTTTATGACACACACATTGCTATCATAGCTATTTACTGAATGCCTTAAACAGTTCAGTAAATTGTCTAGAACAACATTGTTTATCCAAGCCTACATTTAAAAGCTGGATGTAGTATTAGTTTTATTCCCACACATGTTCAAGTAAAGTATCTGCTAAAATAACCATTTCTGGGTTATAGATATAGCTCAGTGATCATATACACACCCAGAATGCTCCAAGACCAGGACTTAATCTTTACATCTCCCCTCTAAGTAATTTCAAATTTGGGGGGTAATAGTTAAATCTCAATTTCTCATCTACAAAATGAAGGTATATTTAGATGATCACCAAATAGTTTTTAGGTTTCAGTATTCTGGTTGTGCAATATGTCCTGGAGGCAGCTTTCCACAGCAAACATCACAATCTATATAATTTTCCTGTTTGGGGCTCCTAGCTGATACACAGAAGTCTCTGTGTATCACTATGGTTTCCCAAATCCCTTTCCAACTTGTTTTCTGTAATCATTGTATTTGGTTGTAATCATTGTATTTGAAAACGGCTTAGTATTCATATTTTTTCATAAAAATTAGGTAGCTTTTACCAACAGCATTATTATTTATACCCTAATGCACTTTTCATCTGTAAGGTTCTCTATTTATCCAGCTAGCCACTGTCTCTGAAATCCTAATTTAAAGGAAGTGGTACCGAAAGACAAATCTTTATTTAAAAAAACAACAACAAAAGTTCAGCTGCAGAAATCTCCATAGGTAGGAGAAAAGCTGATGTAAGGCTGTGGGATTTTTCTGAGTCAGCATTCGCAGTCTAAGCTGTTGATAGCTCTGGTTGAATTTGAAGTCTTTAAATTAAGAAAAAGTTTAGTCCATGTCCTTGTACATTGTGGATCTCCAACATCTAGTCTTGCTCAATTTAGAAAATTTATAATTTTCCCGCAGGAATTATTCAAAGCTGGAGTGCTCTTTGGCTGTACTAATTTTCTAGAATTCTTACTTTTAAAAAAAAGTCCGTACTGTCTCTCATTCTGAGCATTAAGTTCAAGTTATTCTAGAATCCTGCTTGAGTTTTGGTTACACTTAGAAATCCTCATCTCCCACCAAACTTAAAGAAAGGAAATTCTGTCTTTACTTACACATTACATCTGTTCACCCAGAAAACACACAAGACACAAATTGGTCTGTGGAGTAAACTCTGAGCTCATCTTCCATTGTCACCCTAGAGGGAAGAAGACAGAAGTTCCTAAAAGGGAGGAGGAGAGGCCAAAATGGAAAGAAACAGAGTGGAACTTCCAAGGGAACTTAAAAATTCTTGTTTGCAAAGTCACACGTGCACCTTCCATTTGAATAAAGCTGAGCAAATCTGCACATTCTGCCACCCAGTTGAGGCTTCCTACCTGGTTTCACTCATATACATATCCAAAGAGATACACAAAACCATGCTTTCCAAAACAGAGAGGTGGGGGAAGGGGTTCAAAGGTTGAAGGTGAGCTAATGAGCAAGGGGGTTAAAGTTAAGGGACTAGGTGGAAGAAAGTAGAAAATTGGCACTGAACTTAGCAAAGAGGCCTAGGTTGGGAGCTGTAAAATAGACTCCAAATGACGAGGAATCTATACCAGAACCTTCAGGCATGGTATCAATGCCACTAAATGAAAGAAATGCCCACTAAAGGCCAGTAAGTGTGTTGCCATATCCAGAACATGAAAACGGACTGGATATAAGAGGAAGAAGTGATCGGGACATTGAAGCATGGTTGGTTGCTCTTTTTGCTTCTGTCCATTCCGCTTTAGAAATAACTGCCTGTCTACAATGCTTGATAAGAAATGTACTCATTATCTTTGCCCATGTAATTGTAACCCCTCTGTACAGTATTTTCACAATAAAAAAAAAAAAAAAAAAAGAAAGAATTAACTGCCTGAAACCTGCGAAAGCGGCCCAGGGGCCCCGACTTTCCTTCCAGTTGCGCCTGGGTTTTGGAAAGGCCTGGGCTCATAGAAGAGGAAAACAACAGGTTCCCACAGGCCGAGCAACTCGATCCGAGCCCGGCCCTGCACCTGCGGGCTTGGGTATCACCTGAGCACCGCCCAGGCCTCCACGGCCCAGCGGGTGGCCAGCTCTGTCGGCCCGGCTCCCAGTCTCCCCCGGCTCAGGGTGGGTCGCGTTTTCCCACGGCTCACCTGCTGGGAGCCAGGTGAAGAGCAGCAGCCAAGGTGCGGGCGGCTCGGCGCCCATGCCGGCCCCTCTCCGGCCGCTTTCAGCTCAGGCGCTCCGGAGCGCCCAGTCTGCCTCCCTTAGCGGCCACCCCTGGGCGCACATCTCCGAAGAAGCCCCCCGAAGAGGTCCACGCTGGTCTCCCCGCAGGGACCTCCCGGCTCCGGCGCACCTGTCGCGCTCCCCGCGGCTCCGCCCCGCGCGCCCCCGAGCTGCGGGACGCGGCTTCCTGCTCCGCCCTCCCCTCCACCCCCTCCACCCCCCCAGCGGACCAGGGCACCTGTCCAACCTGCCACCGTCCCCGGCAGGCTGCCCGGAGATTCTCCACCCCCGGAAAAGCTAGCCTAGCCCCGCCGATCGATCGATCGCCAGGCCTGCTCCTGGACAGTTAGCAGTGACTTCCCAAGCTCATTTCTCCCCTCTCTTCCCCCTGGAACTCTCCCTCCCCCCTTCTCCTCTCTCTCTCTCTCTCTCTCTCTCTCTCTCTCTCTCTCTCTCTCTCTCTCTCTCGACAAAACTCAAAACTTTTAACCGTGTCTTTTCTGCATTGTATTTTTGCTCCCTCATCATGTGTTTAGAACACTTTATCCACCCCCACCCCCATGATGTTCACATGGAATATCGGTTCCGATTTGCTGGAAACCAGTGGTTTCTAACAAGTTGAGTGTAACTGTTAACTGACCACAATTTATAAAGTTAACAGATGCCCATTCTAGAAAACAAATGTGGTGGAAATTGAAAAACAAATAACATCCCGCCATTTTTGATGGTGGAATTACTTTATTCTTTCCTCCCAGCCTTCATTGCCACTAAGCAGTCCCCCCTCACAGCCCTTCCCCCCCCCCCCCACCTCAGCCCTCTGAAGCCTAAGGTTTTGACCTCTGACTTGACAAAACTCTGTAGGTCTCATGGTGCCTGAGTGCCAGGATGTAATGACACAAGTCTTTTAGCCTGGTGTTGGTGGCTCACACTTGGAATCCTAGTTACTCAGGAGACTGAAAATTCAGGATCTAGGTTCAAAGCCAGTCCCTACAACCACTCCCTCCCCCCATCTCTAATTAACCAGCAAAAAAGGCCCAAGTGAAGGTGTGTTTCTAGTGGTTGAGCTTCAGCCTTGAGTGACAATGCCAAACAAAAGTACCAGGGACTCTACCACTTCAACCACTTCTGGCTTTTTTGCTGGTTAATAGGCGATGAGTCTCACAAACTTTCCTGCTGGGGTTGGCTTTGTAACTGAAACAGCCACTCTGTGAAGTGAGGCAATACTATATTGAGCAGCACAAGTATAAACTATTTCTGTCATCACAGAAAATTCTATGGTGCTGTCCTAATGTTGGAAACATCTTGGGATATTTGGATATCGTGTAAGAATAAGGACATCAACCCGGAAGGAACTGGCCAAGGCATTCTTTTCTTCAAATCTAGTCAGCATTCATTGACGTTCCAATACAGCAGTACCCAGTAGGAGGATATTATTTTTTGATAATAACAGGTATCTGGTGAGGGCAGTTTCAGTTAGTCTTTGAACAAGAACTCTTATGTAAGAAATACAGCAACCAACCACAGCCATTACTCTGAAAACATTTACCAAAGAGAGAAATATAGACACCATGATTTCTTTCCATTTTGCAAGCCAATGTGTCATCATCTATCCCTGAGTTTTCAGTTAACTCCTTTGCCACAGTGGTGATTCCTTGTAAGGCCCTTGTGAAGGAGCCATCAGAGGCAGTATCTTTGGAGATAAAAGTACTTCTCCATGCCATCTTCCTTGGTGTTGTCTCTAGTGTAACTAACAAGACTCTGTTGATTATTCCACCTACATTTTTTACTTACAGTGGACCACCAGAATAGAATGGATTAAAAACTGGTTATTTGATTTCTGGCTTCAAGAGTGCAAAGGATGGCCAACTGAACCAAATCACAAGTTCTACTCGAGCAGGCTGGTAAGGTCCCCAGTAGTAGTCTCTTCCTCAATATCATCAAACATGTGCCCTGGTTGTGGGGACTGCTAACTATCTCCTCAAAGGATTGGCCCTCACTGCATTCAGACAAGTTTCAAAAAAAAAAAAAAATCAATTCTTCCTCCTACCTAGAGAGGCAAGCGGTATAGTTGGCTTTGGGAAGAGGCCAAAGAGTTTCATTTTTGTTGTTGTTACAGTTTGTTTTTAATGTGGGAAACAGCAATAACAGTTTCTTACACATTTCCCTAGATGGTGTCTTCCTGATAGGATCATGCACCCTATGTCCATGAAGTCTGACCTCTATTCCAGTGAGCTTCTGACTGAAGTTAAAACACTTGATTGGCTCCCTATTGTCTAGAGTTTGATGGTGTGGTTTTGCTGATGGTCAAAAAGCCCTTTATTCATCCCAGCTAGCTCTCTAACAAAACAGAAGTGCTAGGTCGTATCCTGGATGCAGCTTTGACTGCTTCACCTGCCTTACCTTGCTTTGCCTACCTTGCCCAAAAACATTCAAGGGAATTGGAATCATCAGTGTTACTCCTGAGGAAGAAAGGAAGAGAAATAAGTTGAGGAGAGCTTAGCTGAATCTTTAACAGTTTTTTTTAAAGTATATGAAACAGGGCTTGGAAGGTGGCTCAATGGTAAAGTGCTTGCCTTGCATGCATGATGCCCTGGGTTTGATTCCTCAGTACCACATACACAGAAAAGGCAGGAAGTGGCACTGTGGCTGAAGAGCTCAGGGACAGCATCCAGGCCTAGAGTTCAAGCCCATGACTGACTATATATATATATATATAATATATATATATATATATATATGAAACAAATATATTCAATATGCAAAATCAGTGAAGTGGTGTAAGATGGGTGGTACTTCACTGCATTCTTTTATGTACTATTGTGTATCTGTGACATAATTCACAATTAAAAAGATTTTTGTCAGTCATGGGGCTTGAACTCTGGGCCTGAACACTGTCCCTCAGCTCTTCAGCTCAAGGCTAGCACTCTACCACTTGAGCCACTGCGTCTGAGTGGTGTCAGTGTGGAATGTTCTTTGACATACTGTGCTACTGCCAGAGTCATTTTTGTTCTAGTGCACTTTAATTCCTAAACTGGGGAACTAGAAGAGGTAACCCTTTGGGATCTGTTATCTCTGGAATTCTATGATTCAAAGAGAAGGACCCAAGGTAGGAAGATGTGCAGTGGTTCCGTTGGCTGGAGGGAAACAAGGCAGAAGTGGAGTATCTTGAGAACAGTCTTCTAGGAACCCACTTGTTTTGAATAGAGATGGAGTCTGCCACCCACTCTGTCAAAGACCCCACATGAAACCAAGAAACTGTTCATGGCAGTTGCAAGCAGACCACCACCATTTTCTCAAAAGGACGGAAACCAGGGGCACAGTGGGGAAGGGAGGCACTACATTCTTGGGTGCTTATCATGTGGGTAGTAACTATCTCCCAAATTCTCATACATTTTAAAGATTTGACCCAGAGTGGAGGTATCAGAAGTGGTGGTACTCGAAGAAGTGAGCCCTAATGAGGGAGCATGGAGTCACTGAGAGCGTGCCCTCCGGGAGGATGTGGAGCCCCGCCTCTTCCTCTTCCTCTCTCAAACCAGGAGGTAAGTGATTTGCTCTGTCATATGCTCCTTTCATGATAGCTGTGCCACCACAAACCCAGAACAATCGGGCCAGTTAGTTCTGGGCTGAAATCTCCAATTATTGTGAGTCAAAATATTTCCTTTTTAAAAGTTTGCAGTATCTAGTATATGTCTGAGTCTAGCAGAAAAGGTCAGATAAGGTGATGTTAGGGAAATGAGCCCTAAGATATGTATTCAAATGTTTTTTTTTTCTTTCATGCGATTGTTTCTAACACATTTATAAGATTATTTCTTTGTTGCTTTGTATGTCCCTTCCCCACAGTATAACCCCTGCTTTCACTGTATTTGATGTCGGTATAATTTGTGGAGGGGAAGGGAAAAAACAAATCGTTTAAATAGGGATACAGGTGGACCCATTGCAACAATGAGATATACAAGTCGTTATGTCGAAAAATGAACTTTACAGCTTTGGGGGGGGGGGTAGCGGGGAAGATTGGGTGGGGGGGTGGGGAGAGGATGGGAAGGGATGGGAAGGGGAAACAAAGGAGGAGGCTACAATGCTTGATAAGAAATGTACTCATTATCTTGCCCATGTAAGTGTAACCCCTCTGTACAGTATTTTCACAATAAAAAACAGTTGACATTTATTCCATATATTTGTTTCAGTTATCAAATCATGCCTAGCAACTAGATCTGGAGCCACAGAGAATTAGTCTAATTCCTCAAGTTACAGCAATAAAGTCTGAGAGCATAGAGATTTCCTTCTTCATCTCTGACCACATGGAGTTTAAAGAAGAGAGAGAGATGGATTTGGAAACATGGCTCAGGTGGTACAGTGCTACCTGAGTAGGTAAGCTCAACGAGCAAGTTGAGGAATTGCAAAGCTCCTGATTCAAACCCCAGTATGAGAGAGAGAGAGAGAGAGACAGAGACAGAGACAGAGACAGAGAGACAGAGAGACAGAGACAGAGACAAAGATAGAGACAAAGACAGACACACACACACACAGAGAACACTAATAATATAGTGGAAGGTGCAATGTAGTATATACTTATAATCTCAGCTACTCAGAAAGCAGAGGTAGAAGGATCATGGTCTGAGGCTGACCTAGACAAAAGTATTCAACACTACTCAAAAACCTAACTAAAAGCAAAATGGTTCAAATGTTAGAAAGCTTGTTCAGCAAGTACAAGGCCGAGTTCAATCCCAACTATTTCAATAATAATGAGGAGGAGGAGAAGGAGGAGGAAGAGGAGGGGGAGGAGGAGCAGGAGCAGGAGGAGGAAGGGGAGGAAGGGGAGGAGGAAGAGGAGGAGGAGGAGGGGGAGGGGGAGGGGGAAGAGGAGGAGGCAGCAAAAGCAAATCACCCAGCCCATGCCATTCCTTTCTGTTATAGTTGTTGTTTTGTTTTAGTGCATGGGCACTGCCACTGAGGTTTTTTTTTTGCTCAAGGCTAGTGCTTTGCCATTTGAGCCACAACTCTACTCCTTGATGCTTTGGTCCATAATTGGAGATGTGTCTCAGGGACTTTTCTGCCCAGGCTGGCTTTGAACTGCAGTCCTTAGATCTCAGCCTCCTGAGTAGCTAGGATTTCAGCCACA